GGAATTAATCGCAATTAAGTGCAAAAAAAAAAGATTTATTAGGTTTTTTTATCGATTGACAGCACTAATATATATATATATATATATATACACACACACACACACACACACACAATATAATGCTTAATAATGGATTTTTTATGTTTTAGCTGTTATATACTATTATTTGTTTCTGTTAGGTGCAGCATATTATTTACAGTAAATAACTGAACTGAACTATTATGCCTCATGTTTCATTGACAGTTTTATTGATCACTCAGATATGATTGACTTGGATTTAAGTTGCTTCGATTTAAAAATGAAAATTGTAAAAAATAGGGCGAAGCAGTGGCGCAGTAGGTAGTGCTGTCGCCTCACAGCAAGAAGGTTGCTGGGTCTTTTGTTTGAGCTTCGGCTCAGTTGGCTTTTCTGTGTGGAGTTTGCATGTTCTCCCTGCATTCGCATGGGTTTCCTACGGGTGCTCCAGTTTCCCCCACAGTCCAAAAACATGCGGTACAGGTGAGTTGGGTAGGCTAAATTGTCCGTAGTGCATGAGTGTGTGGATGTTTCATAGAGATGGGTTGCAGCTGGAAGAGGATCCGCTGTGTAAAAACTTGCTGGATAAGTTGGTGGTTCATTCCCCTGTGGCGACCCCGGATTAATAAACTGACAAAGCCGACAAGAAAATAAATGAATGAATGAATTGTAAAAATAGTCTAGATGTAGCTAATCTACTTCTGCCATGTAGCTTTTAGCTTAGCTCGCTACATTTCCCAGGGGGTAGCTTTTAGTGTAGTTAAGCTACATTTCAAGTAGCTAGTAGCTTAGCTCACTATATTTTTAATGTTTGCCAAACACTGCTCTTTTAAAGGAACATGTCCAACACTGCTGTTCTCTGACACAACTTTACTAATAGAAACTGTGAATATTTGAAGACAATGGGTAAAATGGCTTGTATGCTGTGTGTCTGCCTCAGGTGAAACAAGTGTAATCAACACCATGAAACCACTCTATCCTTTCAGAAAAGCACAAAAACAGTGTGTTGTCTTGTTAACTGTAATTTCAGCCAGCTGCGCAAACACTTTGTTTAGATTTGTCTATAACAAGAGGAAGAACTGCGGTCACTGATTTACTTACAGCGTTCTGAATAAACACTGATAAGAGATGAAAGACGCTGTCCCACCATCACAAAACACTATTTAGCCAGAAAACTACAGTATCAAACCTGAATATGACCATTTACAGCACTGAATCTTACATATCTGGAAGGTGGAGACAAGATGGAGGGAAGAAACCTATTAAGAACAACTGATCATACCAGTCATAGGGGGAAAATGGCTAAAGTGAAAGAGAACAAAGTAAATAGAAATACCTAATGTAGGGACCTACTGTATTATGCCTCTTTTTACAAGATGTAAAATAAGTCTCTGATGTCCTCAGAGTGTGTGAAGTTTCAGCCCAAAATAACACACAAATAACGTTTTATAACTCTTTAAAAATGGCCCCCTTTAGGCTTTGATCCTGTGTGCCATTTTGATGACTGTCACTTTAAATTCATCTATTTCAAAGTTTGGCATTTACAAATGCATCAGCATAGTGGCAGATTCAATAACAGACTAACATCCTATGCTAATGAGGGAGACATCATCATCATCACTAGTGGGCGGGGCTTTCCCCCTCTGATGTCACATACAAAATGAGAATGTCAATTAAAATGTTTCAGCAGACTGGTTTGATAAAGTATGATGCTAAAACATGAAATGAATGCATTTGTATTAGAAGCTGGTTATATTCACACTGTTGCCATACAACTGTGTTTAAACCCATTATTAAGTGATTTTTGCATAACTAGTGCCCTTTAATACACTTCACCATTCATAATAGCCGGGCTGAAAGCCGGGCTTCCAGCTAACTTGATCAAACCTCTTCAGCTGCTCCAGAACACAGCAGCACGAGTGGTCTTTAATGAACCTAAAAGAGCACTTGTCACTCCGCTGCTCATCCGTTTGCACTGGCTGCCAGTTGCTGCTCGCATCAAATTCAAAGCTCTGATGTTTGCTTACAAAGCGACTTCTGGCTTTGCTCCTTCGCATCTGCTCTCATTTCTGCAGATGTATGTGCCCTCCAGAAAATTGCGTTCTGTGAATGAACGTCGCCTCGTGGATCCATCCCAAAGAGGGGAGAAATCACTTTATCGAACGCTCGCGTTCAATCTGCCCAGTTGGTGGAATGAACTCCCTAACTGCATCAGAACGGCAGAGTCACTCGCTGTCTTCAAGAAACGACTAAAAACTCAACTATTTATTCTCCACTTTCCTTACTAATCTGCAATTGCCTCTCTGGCTCTACCGCTAACTGTATTACAAAAAAAAAAAAAAAATACTAATGTTTTGCTTCTTACACTTTACACACCTGAACCTTGCCTACAGCACTTAATGTTGCTCTTTTAGTTGTGTAAATTCCTTCCTTGTCCTCATTTGTAAGTTGCTTTGGATAAAAGCATCTGGTAAATGACTACATGTAAATGTAAATTATACAGTTTAATAAAGAGCAACAGTCTGTTCATTAGTCTTAAAATATTATTCATTCTCATGGGAATTATTTACTATACATTATGCATTCACAGGGTTTTTTTTTCCTGTTCTGGGAATTCAAGCACAGTGTTCGGATCAAAGAGATAAAGATATATAAACGTCATGTTTACGTTGATTAACTGTAATTATACACAAGAGAACGTGGAATAACTGGAAATGAGCCCACATTAAACACTTCATACAGCTGACTGACAGTATATCCTCACATTTCAGGATTTCATCAAAATAAACAACATTCACTGTGTCCTCAAAATGCTATTAGTCACATTTACTATATGTATTTAAATCCTTTGTTTATTTATGTATTTGACATCTAATTTCTTTTTCACTATCTTGTAGTGCTTTTGATGCTTTTAATGACTTTGGTAGAATATTTTTATGATATTTATATATAGCTGAAGTCAGAATTATTAGCTCTCTTTAATTTTTTTTCCCCAATTTCTGTTTATGGGAGAGATTTTTTCAGCACATTTTTAAATATAGTTTTAATAACTCATCTCTAATAACTGATTTATTTTATCTTTGCCATGATGACAGTAAATAATATTTGACTAGATATTTTTCAAGACACTTCTATACAGCTAAAAGTGACATTTAAAGGCTTAACTATGTTAATTAGGTTGACTAGGCAGATTAGGATAATTAGGCAAGTTACTGTATAACAATGGTTTGTTCTGTAGACTATTGAAAAAATATAGCCTACAGGGACTACTTATTTTGACCTTAAAACTGAATTGAATTTTATTTGACAGATTTTAGACAAGCTGTACAAAAATACAAGTATCCCATATATTTTATAATAAAAACTGTGGAGGATAAAAACACGATAAAGCCCTGGGATTGTTTCCATTGCGGTCCTCGTTGTAAAATAAAACAATGTATGGCTTCAAAATACCGATGATGCATAAAACAAACAGTACCTCCACATTTTAAAACAGGAACAAAATAATTCACAAATACATTCCTTCATTCATTCATTTTTTTTCCCGCTTAGTCCCTCTATCAATCAGGGGTCGCCACAGCAGAATGAACTGTCAACTCATCCAGCATATGTTCTTCGCAGCTAATGGCCCTCCAGCCACAACCCAATTCACAATCACGTAACATATCAAATAAAACATCCTCGTCCACCATGCAAACTAATTATCCTCATTAAACAACCATCTTCTGATAGCTTTTTTAAACCTCCTTAAATCTTTTATTTCCTTGATTGATTTTGGTAATTTGTTCCACATGATTGCACTTGTATATAAAAGCATATTCTTCCCCAATAAACTTCTAAATTTAAATTAACAAATATTAAAATGCCCACCCCTAGTACTGTATGAATGCTGCTGCCTCACCATCTGAAAATAGTTCACCAAATAACTAGGAACCACATTATTAAACATTTTACATACCATTCCTAGTTTTAAAAAACATACTCTATTGCTAACAGTTAACATAGCTTTTTCTTTAAAAAACTCTTTGTGCAAATGAGCTCTTGGATGAATTTTTAATATTGGTAGTAATTTATTTAAATAATAAAAAAAAAATGTATAATTGCTTTTATTCAAGCCAAAATAAGACTTTCCGCAAAAGAAAAAAATATCATAATGTGAACATACATACATATATATATATATATATATATATATATATATATATATATATATATATATATATATATATGTGGGTAAATTTTTGGTGAATTAGTTTTTTTGTAGTGGTGTCCAAATTTGCCATGTCGATGACATTAAAAAATTTAAGTGAAATAATTAAAATTAAATTAGCATGAATTAATTTTTAATTAAATAAATGCACACATTATCTATATATGTTAAAATAAAAATAATTTTTAATTAAATGAAACTAAATTGAAAATGTTTTTTTAAATAAATACGCACATTGTTTTTGTGTGTGTGTGTGTGTGTGTGTGTGTAAATTTGTTATTTTAGAGGTGTCCAATCATGCCATGTCGATGACATTTACAAATTTGAGTGACATCGGAGACACAGTTAACTTAAAGTAAAATAATTAAAAATAAATAAACAAAAATAAAATAAAATAAATACACATGCATATGTGGTCTAAATCTTACATAGAAATGCAAATCAACACAAATAATACTGCAATGATAAAGGAAACTTGTTGAAATCACTTTAAATTACACGTCATTTCTCAATATTAGATAACTACATAAAATAAGACATTATAACATTTTAAAAATCCAAACTAATCTTCTAACATAGTTAATGCACTTTGAAATGACATGAAAAATAAACATCTGCATTTTTAATAACTATCATCAAAAGCTTCAAATAAATGACTTCTATACACAATTAGAGCAGCATGTTCTCAAATGAGACGCTTCTTGCTGGAAATCTCACAACATCTCAAAGGTCTGCTCATAGTAACATGAGGATGTTAAGAGTCTCTGAAACTCACCCATGTAGACAGCAGTGCAGATTAGTGTCATTCACCGGAGTGCAGTGTCGAGAGCGCGTCCAGACCCCGCTGTCCCGACTCCACTCTGCGTTTAACGTGTTTTCCCTGTCGGCACCAAACTTTGCTGGCATGAATCCTAACATCACAGGCTGAGAGCTGCTCATTGGCTGCAGGGTTTACAGGAGTTGAAGGGGGGAAGGACTGAACACCGCACAGGCTGAAAAAAAGGAAATGTGTGCTTTAATACTGCTCTTCTGAAGGAATGTCAATTCATCTTATTTTCCTTCTTCAATATTATATTTTACATAATTAAGACTGTCTGTACACATAAATGGTTAAACAAAGTTTAAAAAATTAAAGGCATACAAATTGAAAATGTATCTTTATATTTAAAATCCATTATCACATTTTTTAGGGAGAGGGTAGATGCTCTTCATTGATCGAAACATGTATTAGTTTCAGCAGTCAATCAATCAGTTAATCAATATGAAGCAACCGTTTTGACAATAATAAATATTAATCCATATTTATGCAATAATATAAAAGTATGGGGAGACTCAACAATAAGTAATAATAAACGTTTACAAATCGATGTAATACTTCCGAAAATCACAATCGCTGTACATACTGTAGATCCATGCCGATTATCAGATGGCCAGAAAGTTCTACATTTTTTTTTAATTGTTTGAATATTGGTTTTGGAGATGCCACAAGTGCAGAGACTGTTGCGTACATCATGATTTAATTTCAAATTCACTTTAATGTGTGATATGACTATAAAGTGGCTGTTGACTTAACAAGTGGATTGGAATGTGTTTGGTAGTTTAGACACAATGCAACTTTAAAAAAAAAAAAAATAAATAAAATTATATATATATATATATATATATATATATATATATATATATATATATATATATATATATATATATATTAGTGCTGTCAAGCGATTAAAAAAATTAACTAATTAATCACACTTTTTTTTTAAATTAATCGCATTCAAAAGACTGAAACTTGTAATTTTGGATATTCGAATGTAAAATTAATGTAAACGCAAGACAAAAAACTATTTAAATTTAAAATGTAATTGTTTTTAAGAATTTTTGTTTAAATTTCTTCAAACCCACCATAAACCATCAAGATCCTGGCTTGACAACCATATTTATTACAGAAATAAAAACACAGGCATGTTAGTGCCATTTGAAGTTCAAAACAATCATTGCCAATAAAGAAAACACTGATTTCTAAGTTGGATTCCAAGTGAACTGCAATAAATACTACAATAAAGTATTAAATACAAACAATTGCACTCACAACAGGAAAAAAAAAAAACGTTAATTGCGTAAATTTTTTTAACAAGTTAAATATTTCAAATTTATATATATATATATATATATATATATATATATATATATATATATATATATATATATATATATATATATATATATATATAATGTTTTTTAAAGTTGTATTGTATGTCCAAACTACCGAACACATTCCAATATGTGTGTGTGTGTGTGTGTGTGTGTGTGTGTGTGTGTGTGTGTGTGTGTGTGTGTGTGTGTGTGTGTGTATATATATATATATATATATATATATACATATATATATATATATATATATATATATATATATATATATATATATATATATATATATATATATATATATATATATAGTTGAAGTCAGAATTATTAGCCCCCCTTTGACTTTTTTTTTTTTTTTTTTTGAATATTTCCCTAATGATGTTTAATAGAGCAAGAAAATTTTCACAATATGTCTTAAAATATTTTTTCTTGTGGAGAAAGTCTTATTTGTTTTATTTCGGCTAGAATAAAAGCAGTTTTTTTTTTTTTTTTTTTTTAAAACACCATTTTAAGGACAAATTTATTACCCCAAACTGGCTTGGAACCAGTGGACAATGATTAAATGATGACAGTTTTTATTTAGGGGTAAACTACCCCTTTAAGTTGATATAAAAGGGTCAAAAATGCTAATCGATTCAATGCCAATTGACTACCTTGATGTCAACATGACATCAAATTCACATCTAAAATTATCGTCAAAACATCAAAATAGTTGAACTCTGTAACTATTTTTGATGTGTTTTTTGAAAGTGTTGATGTGTCGAATGCAAATTTGATGTCGGTATTTAACGTGCATTGACGAAATACAAAATCCGGTGTAAAAATGTGGATTTGAAGCATTCATACAATAATATTATACCTTTTGTGGTGTTATTTTGGTGATCAAAAGGTCATTAATGTATGGATGTCAAATGGGCATGTCAATATTTTGACATCAAATCAATTAGCATTATGTATTTATTTATTAATTTTTTTTGATGTCATCCTTGTTGATTTGATGTAGTTTTGTAGTTGTAGGGAGAACATGCAAACTCCACACAGAAATGCCAAGGTTGCTGGACACATGATGTACCAACGGTACCACACGTTCCAGTGATGTTGTGAAGCAGAAACGGCTCACTAAGACGGATGTACAATATGCCAGGTATTTAACAACCTCAGCTTCCCATTATACAAACCCAGCGTCTGGCACCAGCTGGAACTGATTGGCTAGCAGACTTTCAACAAAGCACTGCTCTCTTTGGCTCAATAACCAGAGACTTTGAAAGCAATATTACCGTGAGAAATGTTCTTGGACCTGACGTAGGTTTGCCTGCAACATGTGGAATGCCTATTTTGTGTACGTCTGGGTTGGTGTATGGGTTTTGAATCAAGTTTTGAATGCGGAAAACACCTGCTGAAGACTCATGCGTCAGTTACAAAAACAACAAACACAGACGATCTTTACCATCACCAGTGACACGGTACTTCCTGTCAGTGTTTGATTAATTACAAACCCGAAAGTCTAGTACAAAAAAACAACAACCTTGAATAATCCATTGATATAAAAGATTTGTCTTTCATGTTCACTGGTGATCTGACTGAATGAGCATCCACAAAACTGTTACTCTAAAATTCTGGAGAATCATTAATGAGGAAACCATTGCGCCATCTAGAGGATATGAGGAAATATTTGTATTCTGAATAGCAGTCGACTTGTAAAATATAATTCTACCAAATATTCTTGTTTTAAAGCTTGTACTAAGCATTTCTTAGGTGTTTCTTGTAAATACGAGTCTTGTGGAGGGTCTTATCTGTTAATATGTGCTCCAGTAAGAGGAGGTTCCTGATGCATCGGCTGCACTTCGAGGGACACAAAGCGCCCACAGGAAACATAAAGTAAACACTCTCTGGGAGCACTGCCCTGAACCCTAGACAAAACATCTGCCTGAAAGAGAGAGAGAGAGAGAGAGAGAGAGATAGGCTGATAGAGGGATTATTCTGCATTTCAGTACATTTAAAGACACAGTTCCCTCACGAACAAACTAATTCATTAATCAAATACTTGCTTTCTTTTAGTCGATACTTTTGACAACCCTATTATAAACTCTACAGTACTGACCTTATTCTTTGCATATGAGTTAGTGCAGCCATTGGAATCTTTTCAGCTTGAGACTTTCGGTTTCATTTTTAGACGTTAAAGGGTCACGAAACACCAAAACACATTTTTTGAGCTGTTGACAGTCGTATATGTGTCCCACACTGCTAGAAACACTATTAGGACACCTATATTTCACTAAAAAGTGTAAATTGGTTGTTTTTGCGTTATTTCAAGCAAATTCGTACTTCCGGTTTAAAACGAATTTTTGAAGCTGCGTCACGGCCATGAGATAATAGCGTGTATTCCAGCGTGCAGACTGGACGTCTGTGCCAGAGTGTGTCTTATTACGTCTTACAGTGTGCTGCATTAATGCATGAGTAAGGCTTGGTTCAAACCAATCAGCGCGCTCTATTGTGAAACTTCATTAATATTTATTACTGTCACAGTGTTTAGACGACAGAGACGCCACGTTGTGTTGGCAAAACAAGCGTGAAGTGTTGCTTTTATAGTTTGCTGCAGTTAAGTTTTGTTTTCATTTTCTCTCTGTGAGAGCGCAGCTGGAGTCACGTGTGGATTAACAGTGTACGCGACGCTCAACAACAACAACTTACGTGTCTAAGGAGAAACATTGTTTACCTGAGAGCTGTTCTCATCTGCAAACTCTGAGATCCGGATTCGCTTGTAGTCTTCTCTTAATAAAGACGGGGCTCTAGTTGCTGGTGATTGTCCTATCTCTACAGATTTGGTAAGTGAGCGACCAGTGCTCTTTGTTTATTCAGTTTGTACGTATCGAACTATTGCACCGAGTGTAAACAAGTTAGCACTACAACCAAACTTTAACCTTGTGTAGGATTTTCACCGCATTTTGTGACCGGAATAACACACGCGAATTTCTGACGCTACCTGACGTGTGTATCTAAGTTTCCGGGAAATGCGGAGGGTTTTTTTTCTCTCATTCGCCATGTGGTATCAAACATTGTATGAAAAATACACGCTTAGAGCAGTTCCTCGAATCAAATATCTCGTTTGTCAAGAGCCAAACTGCTGTTAAAGTCCACCATTTAATAATTGGGCAAATAATTCGACCACAGATGTCCATGTAAACACAGTCACTTTGTCCCCTGTGTGTGTTTTTTGACTCTGAAACTCAGCGCGCCCAAATGGATGCTCCCACACCAAGCCTCTTTTCTTCCTCCGACACTCCCCCCTAAACAAAGCTGGACACGCCTACTTTTCTAACTTTTTCCAAAGTAGAGGTGTGAAAACACCCTGCTGAAATAAGGGGGTTTCGTGGCTCTTTAACAACAGCTCGCTATGCTGCTTGATGTTGTAAACATCAATTTTTTTATTATATTAGTCTACTTTTTTATGTATAGTCATGAACACACTTGTTTGTAGAGCAAGTAGTTTGACTGTTTTCTTGCATTTTGTATTACAGGTCATTGCTCCCATAGGCCAATGTTCCTTAACCACCAGGCCACAGACCGGTACCGGTCCATGGATGAATTGGTACAGGGCTGCACAAGAAATCATTATTTATTTATGTTTTATTTGTTATCTGAGTTCGAACAATCTTTTAATTTAAAAAATATTTTATTTTAAAAAATGATTGTATACTCTCGGTTACATCTCGGTCACTTGAGCACCCAAATTTAAACCTAAAGCAGCAAAATGAGTAAGAAACAGACTTCCTTCCAGACGCACCCAGTTGAATGAATGCCATGAGCATGACAAGAACTAACCACAATT